TGCTGTTGCGCATGTGCATAAACGCATACGCGCCGCTTAGGCGTGGTTTCTACTACGACCAAGTTATTTAAAAAAACAATTTGTGCGTTTATTAAGACCGGGGGCAATAGACTGCGTCAGAAAATAAACAAAACCTGCATGCAACACTGCGCCCGCTAGATTATACCTTTCTGGCCACCTGGGTACCACTCCAAATAGTAGCCGGACGTAGCCTTGCTCAATGATAATTTAACAATCCTAATGAGGAGATTATGAAACGCGATAACCGTCCCAGCATAGTTCTTTTTCCATATGCCTTCGTAGTCCTGTTGGCCAGCTCACAAACTAAGGCGCAGAAAGCGCAGTATCGTGATACAAATGTGTCGAGACAGTACTTTAGAAATACTTTTTTTCTTATTTATATTTCAGTGCCACGATACCAATTTTTCATCAGTATCTGTATTTCAGTATCGGAAAACATTGTTTGCGAATTCCATGTATCGCGATAGAATCCCGAGCCAATATTTCTTGTTACGATTTTCGACGGCCTTCCCTATTTTGAAAAGACTACAATTCTTCCAGGGTTGCCATATGGTCTACCATTTTGTAGATTCACAACGTTTAAGGCACTGCGGACACGGAATTCACCAGAGAACATAGCCCTCGCTCTCCCTTTTACTTTGATGAGGGCGAAAATTCCGCATTCAGATTATCAGATATTGGAACACCAGTTTATTCCTAGGCGACGTTTCGAAATGACTACAAAAAGGCACCTGAATTTATCTAGAGGGCGCCCACCTGCTGGGGTGATTTGGGTAGACATAAAACGTGTTAGAGACTAACGTGATCTCGCTTCAAAGGTGCGCAGGATGTACAAACACTGCGCTACATTCTAGCCGGAAATTCCAACCTAGTAAAAACCAGCTTGGTTTTCACAGCTTTATGTAGCAAGAAGAATACCGACCCGATACCTAAATTATTTCTGCCTCAAAAAAGATGATATTCAAATTGAAGCTGCATGTCGTGGTTAGTGCACATTCTTTTTATTAATATTTTTATCGCCGGAAAATGTTCGACTTATTTTTCCATGCGTAGTGCAAACCTCGTGAACAAAATACTACCCATTATCACCCCTGAGCCGAGGCCTTTACGTAGACCTAGGCGACTAAAAAATTACATATGCAAGCTCGAAATCTTCACCTGCGTGATGACGGTCTTCCTTTATTTCAATACGAACTTCTGTTCGTCGGCACCCGTGGAAGCCCAATCTCGTTCGCTGACATGACACTTTTCCAAACTAGACAGTGGGTGACTGACAATGACTAACCCATGGAGCCTGGTATACGGAAGAACTCCGGTTCTTTTACAAGAGTCAACATTACCAACGATGTCCATGTGTAACCTTAAAACACCAGAAATGACTAGTCGTTTTCAGGACAGACTCAATAACGGGTGACTCCCTATACGCTCCGTGCGGGAACTATAGGGGGCGCTTTGAAAAGCGCGCGCAGCGCCGCTAGCGGAGGAGCTTGCGTTCGGCAGTGTGGCGCGCTCAGCAGTCTACGGCGCCTTTTCGCGTGTGAAGCTGTGGCGGCGGAAGCGCGCACGGACGGAACTTTTGCTTTTTGACCCGATAAGTTGTGGGTGCCGTTGCATGAGTGCTGGGGCAGATTTAAGAAGGGCGTTTAGCTGTTCCCCACTTTTATATATTGAGTTTGAGCCGTTATTAGGGGTAATTTCTTTAGTTGCAGTCGAAAAAGGGGTTTGAGCAATTTTCCGAAAAGCAAGACGGCCGCCACCATAATTGCTCTCAGTGAAAAATTTGTTTCGCTCGTCGCTGTAAACGTAGGACTGCTGGGACGATGATATTTCGAGGCGAGTGAGATGTTCGCTAAGTTTATGCACTAAGTGGGCCAAGGTTTATGAAGACAACATGTGTGAAAGTTATTGTTCGAACGAATCAAGGAATAAAGCTGTCAGGAATATTCAATATTGGACCCAAATTGTTGTGTTATAACCGGGCTGTGCGAAGTGCAGATTTGGACACACAGGTTCTTGGACATGACCGTAACTTGACACAACAGTTATAATACCAAAAATAGGTGGCATAGGGAAAGCAGGTGGAAATTTGGTCTGGGCGGCATAACTGAATGGGAAACGGTTTCGACTGTGAAAGGGCTGTCAAGAGAATACCACTTGTCCTGGAAGATGGAGACTTTACTGGTAGAAGGGCCTAGTGCACTGTACTTTCGATTGAAACATCTTTGCAAAAGGTGGTTTCAAAACCTAGAAAACCAAGTTGCCGGCCAACTCACGGTTTGGCCGTCAAAGGCTTTTGCGGGCAGCTGTTGTGTAGTCATGTTGTGCGAGGTGCTGATTTTCGGCACACAGGTACTTTGACAACCGTAACTTGACAAAGCGCTTATTAGACCTGAAAGAGGTGGGATAGTTTAGTCAGGTGGAAATATTTTTGGGTGGCGTAACTAAAGGGGAACCGGTTTTAGACGTCAAAGGTTGTCAACAAGAATATACCACTCAGCATGGCCGGAAGGTGCACACTTTACAGGTAGGAAGGGACCGGTGTACGGGTACTTCCAGTTCGAAGAACTTTGCGATAGATGGCTCTAAAGCCGAGAAAGAAATTGTTGTCTACAAGACTCGGGGTGTCAGCGTTTCCACATCCAAAAAAAGGCTGACCAAAAAGAAAAAAAAACAAAAAAAAAAACATAAACTTTCATACTCAAAGATCGATTGTCCAGTGATTCCAAGTTCCATTCTACAGGGTGATTCAAGGAGACGCCAGGCTCTTCAAATCGACTGCAAAATTCGGTTTCTTAATTTATCAGCCTGTAGTTTTCCTTAGATTGATATTTTTCCCCTTTTTGTACCGCCCGAATCTTTCTTCATGAAGTACAGACTGCGTGCCACACTGGTCCAGAAATATCATCGACACGTACGATGGGGACGAAACTTCTTTGGAGGGAATACCTTCAACGAAATTCGCACTGCATACCCGTGAGTGCGGGATGGCATTTCAGTTCGAGCTGAGATATGTAGGGGTTACTGGTATGAAAACAAACGCAGAGCGCAAAGCGGCAGTGTAGAATATGTCAGCCGTGCCGACACAGCGTTGGACATGATCGGGAGACCAAACTTCTCGCGTCGCACGGCACGGGTCCATCGTTGTCGCTGTCCCACAAAACATCGGCGAGGTGAAAAGCTGTGAAACTTCGTCCCTACGAGATACGACGAATAACTATTGGAGCACTTAACGACGCAGCAATTCATGCTGTCAACCCAGCGCAGCCGCACCGCTCCGGCTTCAATGCGTACCAATGCACGCGGCGTGGTTTCGTTTCGCTGGGGCTCTCACTGCCTACCTTCAGTAACGGCCGCACGGCGGTGCGCCCGTCGCGTCGCACGGAGTGCATAACAACATATGCTAGACAACCATCAACACGACAGTCGAATGCCACTCATAGTGAAAGTAGACCTCGTTCTAGCGCGGCGCACTCCCAGACGAAGAGGAACGCCAGGAAAGCTGTCTGAAATTCTATCAAAGCACCTTTAAAGTACTTTGAATGGCAGGACAAGTAAGCAATCATTTGCGAAACCTAGTTGCAACTTTTGGGGGAAGTCAGAATTCTAACAACTCATCGCAGTCAACTAAAACAGTTCGTTTCCGAACAAAAACTCACGAAGACAACGCGCAGTATACTCGCGAAGGCAAACCGTCAGCAAGGACGGGATGGATCTGATAAATGAAAATTTATACAAAACTAATGAGCCGCTAGCTTTTTAGGCAGCAGGAGTTTAGTCTACCGGAGTATGACAACATTGTTACCCATGATGAAGTAAAATTTATTCAGTGCAGCACGATTGCTAGCCTGCGGTTTTTGAAGTCCATCAAGCCGTAGTGATATACGGCCGCTCTCTGGAATGATGCTCATCACCGAAACGGGCAGGTGTGGGTAAATAGACCTCTTGCAAAACACACACCGCCACGAAGGCAGGGAATTTCGGGAACCCTAGGTACAGATGACGCGTTTTTTCGTTGCGCCTCCGCGACTGCGCTCAAGGTGTTGCTGCGCGCGCGTCCGAACAGTTACCAGCAGGAGCCGTTGCAGCGATCCGCCATCCCGCCCATCCGCCGAGTCGTACGTCGTTAACGGCGTACCGTATCTGTGGCAGCGTAAACGCATCGCGGCAGGTGAACTTATTTGAATACCTTATATATCGTAACTTACCTTCACGTATTGAAGTGTCCCCGAATCCATTATTTTGCACCGCAACCGTGGCAGGTTTCGACCAGGTTCGAAAAACCGTTGGTGCAGCAGAAGACAGCGCTGGTACTAAGGAGAGGGATGAGAGAGGGGCAGCCGTTGGCTCGTCGCTCGTCCGATTTGGCTGCTCAAATGTAGTTGCCGTGGTAACCCGCGCCTGCTCGCGTATGTCACGTGGTAGCGGGAGGAGAGACGTTGGAAGGGGCGTACCGAGGACTGCCATTAATAATCGCGCGGCACGAGAGGGCTTTTGAGATTTTCGCAAAGGGACTATTCAGAATCCCTGGTTTCTGTAGCGCGAGCTTTCCCTACAAGTGCTACGACCTGCCGTGCCTTGAGACACTCCGCCACAAATCCCCCACAAATATTAATAGAAGCTGCACGGGCTGCAGCGAACACTAAGACGACCAAGAAATGAGGTTCAAAAAAGGGAGGAAGAGGAAACAAGGAGGTAACGTGGTTGACCGTCACGACGAGGTGAATGGCTTTTCGCTATAGGATCAGCTGGGATACGACCTGTGCATCATATATTAGAAGTCGCGAAAAAGACACAAAACGGTTCACCCGGTCAAACTTTATTTAAATCCATAAGTAAGAAAGTAGTAAGAAAATGACAAATGAATGACCCTTTACCAAGAAATTTATCTCTAGCACACACGAACCTTTGCTAAGAATCGCTCTAAACATTTTTTTTTTTTTGGGGGGGGGGGGGGGGGGGTAACAAGTAGAAAGGCTGGACCAACAGAGCTCACAATTTCTCGTAGCAGAGCTGATACCAGTTAGAGGTTGCCGCGGCGCCTACATCACACCTCACATAGTTTAAGATTCAGCCACGATGGATCCCAAATCCTTATTCATCACTACGTTGTAAATATCATTTTCCTTTTCTTTGATAAGAGGTAATTTGTCCTTCGCCTCATCTATCTGATCGAAGTCGACATCAGCAAGCACAAGCTTTTCACCAATCCCCGCTGATTCCACCACTGCGCCAGTCGGACCCACCAACATGCTGTGTGCCCAATTGACGTAGCTCGCCGATTCATCCCTCGAAGCCGAAGCCGTGGCAACGTACACTTGATTATCAAGCGCTCTGGCCCTCTGAAAGATCTCCCAGTACGGTTCACCAGTAATCATGTCGAACGCACCAGGGTATACCAACAACTTGCATCCGAGCTGCCCGTAGGCTTCCGCCATATACGCAAACCCGATGTCGAAGCATATTCCGAGGCCGACTTTGCCGAACGGAGTGTTGAAGGTTGTCAGTCGGTTGCCCGGTGCAATAAAGTCTTTTTCATTGAACTTGATTTTGCCGTTAATGCAGAAGCTGAAGAGGTGTATTTTGCGGTACTTGGCGAGCATGGAACCGTCCGGTCCATAGACAAGGCAGGTGCTGTAGATCTTGTTATTGTCACTCTCCGACATGACGCCACCAATAAGGTACACCTGGTTTTCTTTGGCGCTGCGGGACATCATCTTGCTGGACTCACCGGGAATCGTCTCGGCGTACTTTGCAAAGTTCGGCGACCCGGTCGGGAATCCAAAACATTCTGGTAAAACCACCATCTTCGCTCCCTTGGAGGCCGCCTCTCTGATTTTCCGACTTGCTTTTTCGAGGTTCTCAGCCTTGTTGGAATTCACAGCAAGCTGCAGTAGAGCAAGACGAAACTTGTTCATCGCCATGATATGGACTCGATTCACTGTCTGCAACGAGAGTGTACGATTCAACTGGCGCACACGGTGAGATGTATTTGAGGATGCGCAAACTCCAGGCCTGAGTCGGGTCTTTTGTACCAGAGGCCTGGTGACATGCTTGCTTTCAATAGGCTGTCTATGCCACCTGACACCAGTGGAATTTTACGTGATAGGCAAGGCCTGCGCAGGACTTCATTATTTGTAGACATCGAACCTGCCGCATGTGGCGAACGTCATCAACTGAGCGACAGTGAAAGGCAGAGTAATTAAGATCCCTCTACACTGAATGTAGTCTAGTTTTCGATTTCCACGCTTTTTATTTTTTCATCTGCAAGTGCGGGGTAGCGTATGCGACATGCAATATGTAGGACAAACCGAAACAGCTTTTAGATTGCGCTTTAGCAACCATAGAGCGCACGCAGTATCTCTCCCAAATCTTCGTCTTTCAAAACATGTGTGCCTGCCAAAACACTCCTTCGATAAACTAACGGTTACGCTCTTAGAGACAGGATCCAAGTCAAACCGAGAACGTGAACAACGCGAGTCCTATCTTATTTATCGTTTCAACACAATTGAAAAAGGCATAAACGAAAGCCCCGGAACGCTCGCATCAATCGAATTGCTATCAAAACCGAGACAATAAGTGCCAGGCGTAATAGAGTGTTGAACACAAACTTCTACAGACTCTATTATATAGTGGTGCCGTACTTGAGGCTAGAAACAGGGTATAACCAGTGTCCGTGTCTCTCCGCCCCCCCCCCCCCCCCCCCCCCATCCCCTCTTTTTAAGTTCTGTATTCTGGCCCATTCCAAGAGCTTCCGTTCGCTAACTCCTCATATTGCATTGAGAACAATATTTAGGTCATGCATTGTTACCACTTTCTTTCTACTGTAGTACTGTTGACTTAAACGCCCTTTGTATGTTTATCTGGTGAAACCCTCGTCATCTTGTCCGGTCTAGTTGCTTCTCTCCCCCCCCCCTTTTTTTTTTTTTTTGCATTGTCCCTATGCTTGGTCATGCTTTCTCGTGACCTCCAAATGTTGTCCCCTCCCCTCTCCCTCTCTCTTTTTTAAGGATTTGGATAAAACATGTCACACATGAACTGTGTCGCCATTCCTGACGAAGGGAAGACTCTTGCCGAAATGTTGAAATAAACCTTCCGTGTTTTTGTTTCTCTGACTTGGGATTTTCAACTTTGTGTACTCCACGCCTTCGGCCAACCCTACGCGACCATGCACGCCCTATATATATATATATATATATATATATATATATATATCCCATCAAACGGCTACAAACAAATTTCAATGCCGTGATGGAACGACACCAGGAGAAGAAAACAACCGGAAGCAGGTTTTATTTGTTTATATACTCACCGTTAAAACTCTCAGCGTTTTCCCATATTCGTGTTTGTGTGGCCAATTCACACGAGCGAAATGTACTGTCAGCTGGGACGAAGCGGGGTTACTTTAATTATTCTTTCTTGGGGAGAAAGTATTAAACCGCACTCCACACGCGTTTTACAACAACCTCACTCGTTTCAACCCAAGTTCCTTGTTAGAACTTAACAAGAGTTGCATCTCGATGTTGCTGTCCGAAACACGAGCAATAGCGTGTAGTGCTTTTAAAAGGTCTGTCTTTAAAACTACCAGTCCTTCTTCGTAAAGGTCGGATTCGTTGTTCAGTTTGAAGGTGGGAGAGTAGGAAAGAGGGAATAAAGGTTAATTTTTGTGCATCTTTTAAGTGATCAATGTTTGAACTACAAGGGTGCATTCGATGTCTGGTAACCTGGTTATGTTGTAACTGTAGGTCTCTTCGTGGAAGTTCGGGGATGACTCTAGTCGGCCTTATGCTTCTGGGTGCGGAAGCAAAAAAAAAAAAAAAGAGAAGTAGCTGAGATTGAGAGGTCTTTTTTCGTGTGTCGTTTCCTTCGAATAAAAGTTTAGTTTTTTGTGCCGCAGTCTCGGGCACTGAAAAAAGAGTCAATGTCCACCAGCTTGCCCCTGTTCCAAGCGAGGACCCCACGAAATGAACCTTAAAATAAGCAACAAAAAAGCTAAGTAGATTCTGCTCTTCGATAAGTTATTGTTTTTATATTTTCTAGAGTTCTGCACTTAGAAATAAAATAAAAATCGCGTCACTGGACGAAAAACACAACAAAAAAAAAAAGCGCGCTGTTTCCGTTCTAGTGAAAACGCAACGTGTTCCCGTTCCAGTTTCAACGATGCAAGATGGCGGCGTTCCTTCGTTCCTCCTAAAGTAAAGAGATCCCGCTACATGAACGCCATTCTTGGAGCGCCGTTCCATACGATACTGTAAAACCGGTGATTTGTTTCCAGATTGAAACTATGATCTAGATCGCTATTTACATCATTGTGTTTTTTTGTGTGTGTGTTTTTTTTTTGTCATCCTGTTTTGTAGTCCTCGATATTTCTTTTTCTAACTGTTATTTTTAGTGTGTTAGACCTTGACATAATATATCACCGGGAAAAACATGTGGCTTCGTTACCAGCAAATAAAGTGTGCCATCCGCTCATGCCGCTCCAGGCACAGCCGGTAAGTGACTGCGACGCTAAAAACAACGCTTCATTCCAATGTAGAAAACCTGTTTGCGATAAAGCAATATATTTCTCCGAGCTGCGCAAGCACACTGCAAGGTCAACCTTTCGTTCTGCAGAGGGTTGCGTAGAATAAACAATAAAAATTCGCGGTTGTTTTTCAGCCACATGCTATCGAATTTCAAAAAGTACTTTCAAAATTGGCTCATGCATTTGCGTCAGTTCTTTCTGCAGCAACTTTAGCGAAAACAAGGATAGAAATAGCGTCACAACAATACAATAGTATGTGTGCCACATAACTCAAACGTAGACTGCGCGGTCGCATTCCGTGCCACTGGCCAATAAGAGATTTAAAACTTGTGGGCGCCCGTTCGTTCGAATTGTGATTCGCTGTTACTCAATGCACAGGTTGACGCACAAAAGACCCCACAAAGTTGCCCAAATGACTTGTTCCTGCCGTTTCTAATGCGTCGACCGAAGCATTCTTGGGAATGACACGATGGCTTTTGTACCCTTTCATATGAATGACAAGGGAACTTTCGACACGCTATATAGGTCGGAACTTTTATTTGGACATAAATACAAGCTGTCTATATTCAGAGTAGACTATTCACTACAGCACAAATCACGCCCTCGCGTCAAATATTTACACTGTGCCGTCCTTGGTAAACGTGCGGAGCCCCACATAATTTAGGGTGAGGAAAAAAGTTTTAATATATTATACCTCGCGGTACCGCCTGGGATGGCACAACCGTATAAAGCCGATTCGAAATGTAACAATTTGATGGCAAGTCCGCCATTTTTTGTATAGGTATGAACGTATCCCAGGCAGCACACCAATGTCGGTCCGACATTGGCCTAACATTGGCAAAGACCGGCCTCAATATTGGAAGCGCTACCCTTTCCAATGTTGGCCCAGTGATTGGTGCCAATGTTGGGCCACTGTTCAGCCATCGTTCCAGCCGATGTCGGCCCCATCATTGGTGCCGATGTTGGGCCATCGCTAAACCATGGTTCCAGCCAAGGTGCTCCCACATTGGCCAAGACCGGCGTAATATTGGACAACACTGGAAGCGCGACCCGATTCAATGTTGGCCGTCATGCTGATTTTTGGCCATCGTTGCACTCGCCCAGCACTTTGCAAGTGCACTCGCCAAGTTGCTTGCAACAAGGAAGGTAAACAGACACAAGGCATTGTTTTGAAATCTCCTAAAAGTTTATTACACACAGCTTATTCTGTAGACAACCAGAGTCTCGGCAATTTGTAATATGTGAAGAAGTACTACTCAGCTGTGATACAACTAAGAAGACTGCAAAGCAAGCAACAACCGGGGTAATTCTTGGGTAGTGTCCAGTCTCCCGGCAGCTGGCAGAATTTTTTCCCCAAATTCTACCACTAGTCGCCTCTCATTGGCGGTGCAATCAGTTCATCGAACTACATTTCATAGACAAATCGTTTCATCAACACGCGATGTGTCATAAACAAACTCAAAATGTGTTTTCTTTTCTTCTGTTTTTTGTTGCATTGAACCGCTTCAGAGTTAGCATGAAGCGGCGTGAAAGGGTGGGCTGGTTCGGTGAGCACGCGCCTCAGGAATACACGCGCGACGAAATGCCCCTACTTCTCGCATTTCGCGTAACGAATGTCGACGAAACGTAAATGTCGACCAAAAAGGTGGCCACGAAACGTGTTTTTGCGAAACGCAGGTAGAATAAAAAAAGTCAGTATTCTACCTGCAGTTGTGACATTATTTCAGACAGATAATGGCAGGCGACTGTCGGTAAGTATGCGGGAAAATTATTCTCCCAGGTACCTGGAGATAGGCACTGCACAATTCTAGAGGTTATCCCGAAGATTACCCATACAAGAACGGACAATGATCACCAAGTAGGTTGCAGGACACTTACGTTGAAAATACCGGACTTGAAAGATGTAATCCGACTTGTATGTCAACACGGGCACTGCAGACAGAAGAACCACTTAAACACAAAAACAGAAGGAAGTGATCCGTGAAGATTCAACTAGATGTAGCACACGCTGCCATTTGCCGAACCAAACACTAAACTGTTCACAAGAATGTCTTGGGCTTCTTTGAAGAAATCGACACGGGTAGGACTTTTCGAACGAGATGCCATATTCCACATAAGCGAAATTCACAGCGGGCCTGCACCCCGCAGGCCACATCACGCGCGAAACTGGGTCCGGTCTTTGCGACGCAGGCATTCCGAGTTTGTCAACGGCTAATGCGTCATCCGTCAAAACACGTGATCACGCTTCTGCCGTTACCCGCGCACAAAGAGCGGATTCAAGTCCGGCGAGTACGCACCGTCACCGCGCCTTCAGCTTAGGGAGAGAGAGAAAAAAGAGAGGAGTACAAAGCAAGCAGGCCAGAACGGGGGTGGGGTGCGCTTACAAAGGCTAATCTTCAGGGGCATCTCAACACTGAACGGAGCCAGAGAATTTGTCACTTCTACCCAAGGTTGATAGTGCAGTAGATGTTATGCGTGACCTTGTGCTTTAGAAAGGTTCCGTGCTCTGCCTTATTACCAGCTTCGAGACAGTAGTCACGTGACCCTAACCGGAGACACGATTGGCCTTAAACACGCATAGCGTCTACCCTGCTGTCAATACCGATTTAACAGGACAGCTCTTTGAATGTTTGTGTGCGTTTTTAAAATAATGTAAGGGGTACTTTTTTTCTTCTTGTAGTCTTCAGTTTTTCCTTTATCATCTGGAGTTGTTGAATAAGAGAGTTTCAGCATAAGAAAAGGATGGTCAGGTAGTTGAGCCTTGATCTTGGTTTTATTTTTGTAAAAAATAGAAGATTATGAATGTTGGAACTTATATTGATTTTTTTCCTAATTTTTCTTTTCGTGTTTTTTTTACATTAAGTAAATTGACTGTTCCCTCCCTACATTTAAATCATTTAAGTGAAGTACAGTGCTTTTTTTGAAGGTAAGGAGTGATAGAAATATTACAAGTATGTACATTTATACCATTATTTTTCATTCAACTTATTTCTGTTCGTCTACATTTTAGAATGAGAGACATAACACAGGATTATAAGACAAAATCAAACCACAAAAAAGGAACGCAAAAGTAAAGTATTTGTACAGGTGTGCTCATGGAATATTTTGATTTCTTTTTACTTTTCTCTTTTTTCCAAAAGAGGAATAGTTGTTTTTCAGGAGAACTCTGGTGCGTCATTTCATCTTTCCAAGGTATGTACATTATTATCTTTTAACAGCTTTTTCTCTAAGAATTATGTGATTGTTTCATATTCTAGGCAGATCATAAGGGCAGGATTTATCTATGTCCATGGCCTTTTTATTTTTCCCAAACAGTCTTTCGATGAAATCGGCTTTCCAAGCGCGGCGGGAGTCGGCACCCTCCAGGACTGTATACCCTAATCCTAGGTTGGACACCGATTCCACTCCCCCCCCCCCCCCCCCCCCCCCCGGCACTCGAAACTCCCCCATTATGCTGATGATGTGTTGCATTTCATTCTTTGTTGTTCCGTGGTTGTTACCTTGTTACAGTTGTTTTCCTTGTAGGGGTATTGGCCGTTTAGTCGGAGGTTGCATCTTACCTCCTCTTTTTCTTTTTTGGGGGGATTAAGGACTAGCATGGCTTCCTCACCTCTGTGTTTCCCTAACAGTCCTCGAGACATATGGCCTTCCAGGCGCGGCGGGGAGTGGGCACATCCCAGGACTGTACCCACTTCCCAGGGGGGACAGTGATGTCCCCGTCGCACTCAAGACTCTTTCCCATTGTGCTGACGATGTTGAGGTGTATTGCATTCTTTTTTGCTGTGTGGTTGTAGCCTTGTTGTTGATGTTGTGCTTGAGAGAAGTATTCGTCGATTAGTCAGAGGTTGAATTTCATATCCGATTTTCTTTCTTTTTAGGGAGAGATAGGAGGGGGGGGGGGTTAAAGAGTAGTTTTGCCTCCTCTTCCCCTGCAAAGCGTTAGTAGGTTTTAAGGGAAGAGGAAGTCTTGTAGATATCTTGGATCGGTCTTTATTACTTTTTTTTTCCATGATCAAGTTGGTGCTTTTCACGTATTTATTTTAGAAATTTTGCTTTGAGAGATTTATTGAAAATACAGTTCTATTATTCCTTTTATTACCCAAGGCATAATAGGAGACACTGCAACCACCATTTGGGTTATAATTCTCATGAGGTCTTTATTGCTACAAAGTTTTTCTTCATTATCTAAATTTAAAATTGGACTATTCATGCACTTATTTGCTTGTCTGCATACACCTGTATATGGACATTCTGCATAATAATGTAAAATAATATATAGCGACTTCTGCATACCGACAGTCTGAATATTTTCTTTTTGCCACATTTGAAAAAATAATAAGAAGAAAAGCGAGAATGGCTGGTGAATATTATCTTAGAAAATAAATTGAAGGAAAACAAGCAGGTATAGCATGTATGGTTGGAGTCCATTAGAGAAGAGTGACGATTCATTAACATGGATTTGACATTGTTTGTTCTAGTTCGCATTTTTTAGTCAAGATAGTTTATGATTTATATATAGGGTGACCGAAGTCACCAGGCTCGATCTAAAATGAACCGTAAAAATAGGCGCCTGCACGTATCAACCTAAGCTTTTCGTGAAACGTGTATTTCACAGGTCGGTCCTTTCTTGTAAAATTACAATGCGTACCTTTTCTTTTTGTAAAAAATAGGGTCAAGAAACTTGCCAGTGTCTACGGCAAGTGGCGGCGCAGACGACCATGTCCAGTGGCGGCGTATGTTTGGCGTTCATATTGATAGATGGCGTCGGGAGCAGTGTTCGAAGGTGCAGCCGACCAGTGAAAGGAAGCAAACGACACGAAGACGAAATCGTTGGCAGCAAAAGCGCCGTCGTTATGCAGACGCGTTTCTTTTTTTCTTTTTTTTTTCTTTTAAGTTTTGATTTCATGGTTTACATTTAAATTTAACCGAAAGTACATTTCAACAAGAATATTTTTATTTTAGTAAACCACGGCTGTCGCGATAAGAAGGTAGCGCCATCTATCAATACGAACACCAAACACTCCCCGCTAGTGGACTTGGTCGTCTTCGTCTCCGCCAGCCCAAGACCCTGGCAAGTTTCTTGGCCCTATTTTTTGAAGAAAGGGAACTACGATTTGTAATTTTAGAAGAAAACAGCGATCGGTGAAATACATCTTTGACGAAAAGTTTAGATTGTTATGTAAGGCGCCAATTTTTACGGTCCATTTTAGATCGAGCCTGGGGACTCGGGTCACCCTATATTTCTTCGATTACTTTCTAGAGAAAGACTCTCAACGTAATCGAGCTTCATTTGCTAACTTGTCATCAATGTCATTGGCATAATTCTCACCGTGGCTTTTTAAATCATATAGGTATATTGTTTTTCTTTGACAAATGTTAGTGCTTCCTTGATTTTGTTTTACTTTGGCATTATATTTATCGGGTTGCCCAGTGCCTCTAAAGGTAAACTGAGTGTTATTAAAATAACAATATATTTTCCCTCTAATCTTTTTTATGTTTAAAAGTGCTTTCTATAGGGTGCTCCGAGTCACCAGGCTCGATCTAAAATGGACGGTAAAAATCGACGCCTGCACGTAGCAATCTAAACTTTTCGTCAAAGGTGTAATTCACAGGTCGGTTTTTTCTTGTAAAATTACAAAGCATAGCTCTCTTTCTGTAAAAAATGAGGCCAAGAAACTTGCCAGGGTCTACGGCGGGCAGCGACGCAGACGACAGGGGTCCAGTAGCGGGGTGTGTTTGGCGTTCGTATGGATAGACGGCGCTATCTCCTTACCCCGACCAGAGCCGTACATTGGGAGAGTTTGGCCATTCATTGGTATCAATGGGGCGAAAATCTATTGGTCGAATAGTTGATTGACAGGCCGCTCGTGGCCAATCACAAGCCGCAAAACCTCCCCTAGCGGTGGTCGTGAGCCTCAAAAGTAAAGCAGGGTTCGGTAATTTCATTTTAGCGTCGCTAGAGTTAAAAAAGTTAACGCTCGGTGACTGAAAACTTGGTGCATGTGAGCTTTTCGTCATAGCCTTCTTTAATTGTAGAATAAACGAATGCGCACGCAGACACGTGCGTTGGAATAACGTAAACAAAAGTTTGTGTAGCCGCGGGAGTTCCGCCGTTCCGGTCTTGTTTGAAAAATGGGTCGTTGTTGTGCTCTGAAGTGCCGGAACAGAGCTTCCAGGGGAATTCGCTTGTTCAAGCTGCCGAAATCCCCGAGGAGACGGAAACTGTGGCTTTCAGGAATCAAGCGTGGCGCGGGGTCGAAACCTCCCGACAGAACGTACCTTTGCGAGGTGAGGTATTGTTCATTGTTAATATTGTGACGCGAGCACGGTGGACGCGAGTGCACTGTGACAAAACCGTGTATTTTGTGATCTATTCTCTACTGCCGTGGAAGCGTCCTGTGCGCTTTCACTTCACCGCAGAAAGACGAGTGGTTCAGGCCTGTGGCGGTCGTGCGATGATGGATTTGTAAGATCGCGTATTTTGAAAGCGTGAGCCTCTTGTCAGCGGAATAACTGTACTGTGACTTGAGCGGCTGAATACACAGTTTTGACGTCTACCAAAACGTTATTCGCTGCAGGACCACTTCGAGCGCTTCCAGTTCCAGACGAGGTGCTCTGACGGCTGGAAAAGGCTAAAAGTCACAGCTGTCCCGAGCTTGTTTCTGCATTCTGAAAGTCAAGTGAGTGTGTGTAACGAGGATAAGTGAGATTTTTGTTCTTTTGGTATGTACCTAGATTATGAGAGTGAATTAAAAGTAATAATTTATCTTGTGTTGAGATGTTTTTACTGATATGATTTGAAAGAGGCACAGGTGACCTATAATAAATTAATCATGTGGACTTGCTAGGCTGTTGACATCTCTGTTCCATGTCAGAGACCTTTTTTTTCTAAATTGGAGTGGTCCTTGTGCAAGAGTGCATGAGACACCATCATTCAGTGTTGCAACCTGACACAGCACAAAACCCCGCCTCATGGAAATGTAAGTCAAAACCCAATAACTCATATTCTGTTGCTTCTATTAAGTTAATGCATGAGGCATTCATCACTCTCAGCTGCCTTGTAATGTTATGACAGCCTCACCAGCTAAGTATCTGTCATGGTTCTTGCATGGCTTGGAGTGATCTCGTGAGGTGGCAACACCCAATGGACCATTTGCAGAATTAGTGGTTCGAGAGTGCATGGCTAAAAGACGAGAGTTCCCTGGCCGCAGGCACGTCCACTGCGTCCCGTTGGCTTATTGTGTCGCAGTGACTTAGATAGAGCTCCCCCAAAACCACTTTTGTCCCCCTTGAGGATTATCTTTCACCCCGAGGTAAATACAAAGAAGCCTTCGTCCCTCTCCGCTCGGCCAGCATGAAGAGAAAAAGGGCGACAAATCCATTTATTCTCGAACCCATATTTCTGCAAAACGAGGATTCTCGTACCGTGTTTGCAGCAACCAGCGGCCAGGACCTCCGGAGCGACCCTGCAGGTCGGCCTGCTGACGCAGCCGCTCCCCACCACCAGCGGGGCGTGCTTCGTAAGCATCTTCCAGGGTCCTGCGTACCCCCGTGTAGCAATACCACCACGCTCTTCGCCGCAGCTGACCAGTGATAACCAGCGCAGCCAGGCCAGCTCAGCTGCCTGCGGCACCTTGGTGTCGGCAGACTCCACCAGCTGGGTATGTGGTTCTTGCACGGCTTGGAGTGATCTTGTGAGGTGGGAATCACCCGATTCTCATACCGTGTTTGCAGCAACCAACAGCCAGGACCTCTGGAGTGGCCCTGCAGGGCGGCCTGCTAACGCAGCTGCTCCCCACCACCAGCGGGGCGTGCTTCGTAAGCATTTTCCAGGGTCCTACGTACCCCCGTGTAGCAATATCACCGCACCCTTCGCTGCATGTGACCAGTGACAACCAGCACGGCCAGGCCAGCGCAGCTGCCCTCGGCACCTTGGTGTCGGCGGCCTCCACCAGCTGGGTATGTGTCATGGTTCTTGCACTGCTTGGAGTGATCTCACGAGGTGGGCAACACCCAATTCTTGTACCGTGTTTGTAGCAACCAGCGGCCAAGACCTCTGAGCGAACCCTACAGCCTCTTTCTCCATCACCCGTTTCACCTAGGCTCACTGAAGATGTCTTTCTTCAGATGAGCCGGAAGATCAAGCAGCTGGAGAACGAGAATCATCGCTTGGTGAGGCAGGCTGCCTTACAAAAGACAAGGGAAGCGACATTCCGGTCTCACTTGCACAAGTTCTTCATTGCCGGACCAACTGGCAGCTCTATCGAGATCCAGCAACAGGGGGTCCAAGTGGTCTAATGAGACGGTGAAGAAGTCGCTGCAGATGCAATTTGCATGTGGCAGCTTGGGCTACGACTTGCTACTGGAGGGGAGCTTCCCATTGCCGTCGTCTAGAACTCTGGGGCGGTGGCTTGAAGGCAAATTTGTTGTCAGGCTACTCAAATGGTTCAAAGCTCCCTGTTGATTATTTGCAGATATAATATCCTTGTTAGTAACTGTAGTGTTTTTGTATTTTACACAATTTATTTTTCAATGATAAGTTGGTTTGATGGTTCCTTTTTCACTTAGTTGCAGTGTGGTATGAAGGGGTAGATTATTGATATTGTGTTGGAATGATTCTCTCATCGGAGGCATACAGCACTAGTTTGACCTCAGTATCTTGCACGCGTCGAGATGTGAATTCAAGTTTAGAGGGGGAGTGTTTCCTTCACTCCATATTTTTGTAACCTTGCTGATGCGACCATGGAGGTAACTATGCTGACGGTGTCTAGGAGAGCACCCTGTGGTGATGATGGTCGAATGAGGCTTATGGATTCCATACGAGCACCGCATGAACACTTGACTTGGGTTCGTGACAATAAGTGCCTCGGCAAACATTTGGGCAGCTCATGACTAATCTCTGCACATGAATGGCCAAAATTAAACATTGTTTACAGCTCAGCACATGCTGCACATGTTGCCATCCCCAGCCTATGGCTATACACAGTTCTCACGTGACGTCATTCTAGTCACCATTCCCAGCGTACTAAGCGTCCCATTAATGTAGTGGAAGGTAGGTCTAATCTGCACCCCGTGATTGGCGCGGCCCTACTAGAATAAAACGTCATCATCTCACCTACCAATCGTGTGTGTGCTGTGTCCTGTGATGTCGAAATCGCTCTAGCGCTCTTATATCAGTTGCCCTTGGGACTCGCGATGAGTTGGCCGCGTGCCGTTCGTTCGGTGATGTGCACAGTTTCTAAGTGCTGGCAAATTCGCAATTGCAGCGAGTTAGCGTAGTTGAGTGCGCTTCTTAACGAGCACCGGTGTGCTGTGCAGAAGCGACACTTACAGAGAAAACACCGTGATCGTGCGTATTTCGCAGGCACTGCGATTGTGCATTGAGTGGAAGGCACACCTCCAGAGAAGAAGAGGTCACGCGCGTGTGTGACGAATTCAGGAAAACATTGTAATGTAGCGTAATGATTGTTCATGTTCCTGGTCAATATAAGTGCTTACCTCAAGGCCAAAAAAAAAAACTGGCTTTTACCATGAATGTGTCTTACTCTACAATTGAGGTCCCGTCAAGCAGTGTGCATCATTGCTCATAATTTCTTTAGTCTAAGATTTAAAACGAATATTTGGGTATAGCAAGAGGACTGACAAATCTCTCATCTACTTATAATCTCTATGTAGGGCTTGATTTATTTGAAGCGAGAGTCATTCAGTAATTTAGATCAGAATTAACTGAGCCGTGGCAGTGGGTAGGCAGATACTTGAGAATAACCTAAATGAAACCAGCTAGATTTTCCTTTACAAAGTATAATCATTGCTCACATGCTGAGTTTGTGCACTAGAAAGCTATCTCTACAGGAAAAATGCTGTTGACAAGGAGAACTAAATGAAAAGCTTCATTTGTTGCTTCGATTAACAACTGCAGAATTTACGCACATCCTTGAGAACGTGAACAAAACATACTCAAAATTACTCTTGCCTAACCTCATTTCAGTGGATTACTGTGTGCCCCTTGATATTAGGTGTTTTAGGTATGGATAGTCTTTATATCATATCTAAAATGACTTTTTATTCATACTCGTTCACACTCATCCATCACTCAAATACTATAATGTTTTGAAAAATGTGTACTAAGGTAAGAGTGCTAAGCTAAGTTAGCATGTAGCTTAGCTTGTTTGTAGCTAGCTAAGCTAGTTACACACGACTGGAAGCTAACTTAGGTTAGCTTCCATTAAGCTAAGCTACCTTCCGCCATCTTGACATCAACACTCTCAAGATGGCGGAAGCTGAGCGCAATGGCAGTATCAGAAAGGCACAGCAAGTATTCAATATGCGATTCGAAATTATTCGACCCAAGTCACTATTAGCTTCTTATTCGCTTGAAACATAAAATTCGTTATTCGCACGTGCCTGCTTAAGGGGAAACTAAAGCGGTTTTTGTACCTTTAAAAAACACTTGCATCATCTTCATATGGCCTCCAGTATCACGAATATTAAAATTATTTGTCAATTTGAGGCCCGGAGTAGCCATCAAAGCATTTTGACCATAGCGCTGAAGCCCCACCCTCCCGAGGTGTAAGACGCTAGGAGGAAATTTCTGAGAGACAGCAGTGTCGCAACAAGGATCCTCGGAATCTCTGCAGCTATTGCAAGCTTATTTGAGTGGTCGACAAATTGTGTGCGATTCACCTCATGCTCACGATTTTCGCTCGCCTGTTTGTTTTGACGTAAGTTTAGTACACCTATAAACTTTCATAAAAGATTTAGCGGATGTTGGTCAGGCGTGAAAGATGGTAGCGGGAACTAGGCGTCTGTAGCAGATGACGCACCATTTCACGAGAATAAAAAAAGCGCTACATTGGGCAAGGCTGGTCACATGTGCCGGAACACTGCACGAGAGATGGTGCTTGAGCTTCGGTGGCCAGGTGAAAGCTCTTGACGTGACATCATGCCGAGTGAATTTTTTAAATATTTCTTTGCGTTGGGTGATACTTCTCGAGCAAATAGTGCATATTCAAATTTGCAGGATACAAATACGGAAGAATTTACCTCTAACTCATTTTTTTTTAGAACCTCTTTAGCTTCCCTTAAAGTGTTTTCAACAAAATCAGTCAGTGGTTCACAAATCGGAGTCGGTGACACTTTTAGCAACGCACAGCTACCAAAGTAACCATAGAGTGTACTTTACTTCAGTGCTGGCATTCATCACCTTTGCTCATGAAGTGGAACTGCCAACTTTAAGAGGGTGGCAAAAACTCGTAAAAAACCAGCAAAAACCATTCGTATGGACAACAGGAATGGAAGTTAGCAGCCTTTTCTTCGTTTAGTGCCCATGCTGTTCTTTTATTGACTGAGGGGGAAGTTTCAAATCATTGATTCCTTCAGTCGTAATTACCAAACATTGCATACACTTGATGATCTAAAGCAGTTCTGTGTTTGTAGGTGAGCACTGCCCTACGGGTCCTCAGTCACTCCACGGCCACTGCCCTGCGCTTCCTGGTGGAGAATCATGGCTGGAGCACCAACTTCCTCACCACGGCTTGGTTCTTGGAACAGGTCAACAAATGGTTTGATCTTATGAGCAGCAGGCACCCAGTCCTTGCGACCAGCAGGCAAAATGAGGCCTGCTACAAGAACACCCTTGACTTTCTGGTCAAATTTAAGGATCTTTTTCTCCACCTCACTATTGGGGATGGGGCGTTCAAGCCAGTGCAGGCGGGGGTAATCCTCTCTACCAAGTCCATTCTGGACCTGCAGCAAAGTCTCATTGAGAGACATTCCTTTTCATTTGTGATCACATCCAGATTCACGCAGGACTGCCATGAAAACTTGTTTTCGGTAGTGCGGCAGGGCAACCCTATCCCAACTTCTTGGAGTTTAAGATGACCTTAATCATCACACACTTACAGTACCTGAAGGCGTCCAAGGCAGGGTCCTACGAACTGGACGATGCCTCCTTTTACCTCGCTGACCTCGCAGACTTGGATGTACAACCTGCTGTGCCAACCGACATTTTTCTTGAGGAGGTAGAACTCACCATGGCACAACCTGAGGAGAATAGCTTTGACTATTACGCGGGTATGTGGTATGAAGAGTTGTAAAAAATAAGGCTACATGTGACACGTCTGCTGCAGCTGTTCAAGTCCCCATGGCACCTGCAAATAGCCTCCTCAGGCTAAAGAGTTATGTCCCTGACGCTCTGACCTGCCCCTCTGAAGCTGCGCGCGCCCTCTTCACAATTTGTGAAAGTGTCTTTCGCAGCCTCATTGCGGATTTGATGCATGCACGGGGCATCCTGGACGGCCTATCGGCGAGGATGGCTGCAGAGAGCCAATGTGTTCAGCTGCCCGACTGCCATGAAATCAAAATGAAGCTCATCAGGCGGTTCTCCCATGCACGGCTGCAACTGTTCCTGCGGGAAAAAAGTCGCGAGTTGGCGGCTGGGGCAGCTGAACGCAGGGACTTCGGCAGTCGATGGCAGGACCTCGGAGAACTAATTAGTGTTTTAGATTGCCTTAGTTGATAAAACTGTAGTCCCGTTCTCATTTTTTTTTTTTTACTTTGCTTTCTTCTTTGTGTTAAGGGCAGCTTTCATTTTTTGTGTTCCTTGTTTACCGGGGCACTTCTGAATTTTTTTTACTCTTGCAACGGTTGTTTGTGCGAGGCCCTTTTTCTTGTGATCTCCATGTAAGCTAACGTGAAGCCTCTGCATTTTTTTTATGCTTGCTACACATGTTTGTGCGAAGTTTCTTGTGCTATGCTTGTAAGCATCTGTACTTTTTTTGTGCTTGCTACGGGCCTGTGAGAAGCCCACTTTCTTGTGCTCTGCCTGAGGCCTCTGAATTTTTTTTACGCTTGCTATGGGTCTTTGTGGAACGCTTTTTTTCTTAGGCTCTGCCTGTAAACCTGTGTGAGGCCTCTGAATTTTTTTTACGCTTACTAGAGATGTTTGTGGGAAGCTCATTTTTTTATGCTCTACGTGCAAGCCTGCATGAAGCCTCTGGATTTTTTTCATGCTTGCTTCAGATGTTTGTGGGAATCCTTTCGTTTTCTTGTGCTCTGCGTGTAAGTTTGCGTGAAGCATCTAAATTTTTTTCACACTTTCTTCAGCTCTTTGTGGGAAGCTTGCTTTTTCTTATGCTCTGCATGTAAGCCTGAGTGAAGTCCCAGAATATTCTTTTACTTTTACGCTTGCTTCAGATGTTTGTGGGAAGCTTTTCTTTTTATTGTGCTCTGTGCGTATGGCTGCATGAAGCCTCTGAATTTTTTTACGCTTGCTACGGTTCTTTGTGGGGAGCACTTTTTCTTCTGCTCTGCGTGTAGGCCTATGTGAAGCTTTCGCTGTCATGCAAACTTGCTCTTCTGTATCATGTTGTTTTTTTTTCTTGTCCTCCTTCTTGTGCTGTGCACTGCTTATGTTTCACTCATCCCTTTTTGCTTCATGTGGATGTTTGTAGCCTACACTTGCCTTCCTGGTGTCTTGCATGAAAGCCTATGCAGAGACTTCCTGCCCATGTTAGCTTGTCTTTTCCCCTGTCATTCTTCTGTTCACTTTCCTCGTGTCATTCGCACACCTCGAAATATGCACTCTCTCTGTATCCTCAAGTTTTTCACTTCTGCACTTGCTTAAGACATTTGCAAGCCATCCCTTTACTTCATGAGCTTTCCATGTGAGCCTTCACCGTGCAGCACCTTTACGTTTCTGGGAGCCTATGCTTTGCCTCCGACCCTTTTGGTTTATCCACTTGCCTATTTTAATTTTTCAGTTTCTGTGTTTTTTCTTGCAGAGGCACGAGGCCCATGTCCCCTCCATGGTCATCGGTTGCAGCGTTTGGGTCTGTCTCATTTTATTTCGTTGTAGTTGCAGACTTAATTAATGTCAGGTATCTGTGTGTTAGTTCGTTTGCAGTAGACCTAACTGCCGCCATGTCCTTTCCGTGAGTTAGTTTTTATCGGACGCTCGTACTCAGTGTAACAGGTGCAAGGGCTGGGTTTTGTTGCTGTGTCCAGGATGTTGCAAGGAGACTGCTGGCCAATGGACTTCTTCCAAAACCGACGCGCCCCATTGCGGCGAAATACCATGCAGTGCATTCTGGGAACTAGTTGGCCACTCAGTTTCGGTCTCGACTGAGGAGATTCATCTCATGCTATCACGCCGCGACCGAACGCACTGCTTGCGTTTTCGATTATCTGACTTTTTTACGAATGTACAATATACTCATTCTCGAGCGATACAAAACGAAGGCCGGGGCACTTTTTTTGGTTCCCGAAACACCGGATATTTGAGTGCGTATGCAAACGTAGTAAGACGTGGCTTAGTCACCTTAACGAGTGCATCTTTGAGTTCAATTTCAATAATCCCGTCTAGTACCAGTGAAGTAGAACTGAAATTTGTTCACCTGGAGCCTTTCACCTATTTTGTTTGCCAAACGTCCGCTTCTTGTTACTTCATTGGGCAAAAAGCAAGCCGCATTCTCACAGGAGTATCAAAGTTGAGCCCAGCGTTGACGCGTAAACTTTTAAGGAAACGCAATAAATTCGACCTCACTACTGCACCAAAGTTACTATGATGTCTTCCTCGTGTCATCATATATCTCCCACTCAAATTTTATGCTGATAGAAGATTAAGTTTTCGCAAACGCGGAGATGGGCTAGCTACGATGGAGGCCCTAACAAACGTCCCCTACTCCTCGCTAAGCCTTTTTGGACGAGCTTTTACTGACGCCCAAGATCTGTGCCTGAACGGTGTGTCCGAAATTATCGCGGCATACTCAGGCAGAAAGAAAACTAACACATGACAAATATTATGGCCATTAGCAACCGTCAAATGCACTTTGAATAATTTCGTTCGTTTGGCGCACCGCATAGGGGTTCATACCCGTCCGGCGTACTTCTGGCGAATGGTGCAACATTTTTCACACAAGTGCTCGACGTTTGCTTTCTAAAAACGGTTTGTATGCGCGACTGTGCCTATACGATTGCAGGATAACTTTACGTGCATACGCGATGTTGAATATTAGTAAAATGCAAGTGGGTGGGGACTTCGCTTCGTGCTGCGCTGCGGGTCAGTACAGATAAGAGATAAGAAGTGTGTTATAATTGAGCTTTTCAATGGCACCTCCGAGTTTTACTTCGCGTACACAGGCGTATTAAGAAAACAGTAATTGCAAAAAGTATTGTTTCTTCTATGGACGCACGAAACGAACAAACTTCCTGATCAACAACATATAATGTAAAGGCGCGAGCTCGATGTATGCATACTTATTGGTTGCTGCAGCCTGTTGATTCGCAAGATCCCCGAGCTTCGCAGCGTCGAGATTCCCAGCACTGGCTCGTCCAGATACCTTGAAATGCTAACAAAAAGACTCAAGTACAAAAATAGAACAAGCATGTGTTCAGAGAAGCTATATACGTCTCGGGCTTGTGCTAAAGCTTCGAGGTCTGGCCATTTAGGTTAGTTTATAGACCACAAATGACGCTCTCGGGACCAGAAAACATGAGATAATGGCCGTTTATAGTCCACGCTCTATGTGTAATCTCTGGTCGACGTGTCGATCGAAACCGAAACCATGCCACTCTCCTCCCTGGCCAACTAGTTCCCAGAGTGCAACGCCCCCCATTGGGTGTTGCATGCAGAGCTTTATGGAAGTAGTCTATTGTGTGCATGCATCAAGAATAGTTGTGTGTCAGATGTTCCTTTATTTCCTTGTTTTTTGACTCCATACAGACCAATGTTGAAATTGTTGGTGGCTGCTTCATTCATGAAGTGCAAGGATCATACCTATTTGTTTATTAGGAAATAATTGACATGGCCGTGTCATACATGTTTGTTACATGGTCACTGGAAAGTGTGGGAAAAGAGAGAGAGCCCATGGCCGTTGCAGAGGGAAGCCCCCAGAAACACTGACCCCTGGTGGTGGACTGATCCAACACTTTGCCGCACAAGCTAAAGGTTCATCTTGGTTGGTGTCCCTCGTGCCTGAGTGGGGCATCCTTGCACTGCTTAAAATGCCTGCTCAGTTCCTGGTCCATAGCCTGGTTCTTTCACTTGTTAACTGCCAATCAAGTTAGTGCCCAGTGGTAACTTCATCATCTGACTAAAAATGAGTTGAGTTAAAGCGTCTGGGGCACAACTGGCCCAGGTGGTGCTTCATTGTGCCATGGTGGATTTCACCAAAGTCATGCAGTTTTCGACAACCTGGAAGATGATCTTGGTCCCCATTGTTCTACAGCCCCCATGTTTCTTTCAAAGACAGGGCTGCTTTCTTTGAGGTTGCGAGGTCTTTCCAGGTCTACCTTTGGCTCCTGGGTCTCAGTGATGAGGTCCATGCAGCAAACTCTAGAACAAAAGTTGAACACGAGCTCTGTTGGAGATTGTCCTCCTGTGGTAGGCGGTGTGCGACGGTACACAAGGAGCCATCTTGGCAAGTATGCGGCCAAAGAACCACCCGAGAGTTTCTTTAGACTGTCCTTGATCGTTCTGACAGCTCTCTCGAGAAGTCTGTTTGACTGTGGATAGTTCGGTTCAGTCCTTAGGTGGCCAATTCCATTCTGAGTAATGAAGTCGGTAAACAGCGTGCCGGGGAATGGTGTTCCATTATTGGACACCAAGCAAACAGGAAGTCCTAACCAGGCGACCGTGTTCCTCAGATATTCGACTGTTGCAGTGGAGTTGGCTGGCTGCTGATGCCAGTGGTTTCTTTCAATCTTGGTAACTGTTTACCACAATTAGCACCGTTTTACCTTCGATAGGTGCAGTGCAGTCCATGTAAATTCTTGTCCATAGAGCCGTGGGTTCTGGCAAAGCTTGTGGCTCTGCTTCTGGTGGCATAAATGCAGCCTGTTGGCATACTGTTCAAGGTTGTACGGCATCAACCATTGCCTTACCTCATTGCGTTGATACCCATGCGTGTGTCATGGAATTCTTGGAAGAAGGTTAACCTCCTATGGGCCTTTTGACTCCGTGGATGTTGTGTGACGACACTGGTCCAACTGCCTCTGGAGGTGTGGCACATTCAGGATCAGTTCCTCAGTGTGGTTGCGATACACCAGGAGCCTGACGCAGCAGTGTCTGCTTTGCCTTGTTAAAGCCGTCGTCTTC